GTTATCTCTGGTTTGTTACCCGTGCCACGTGCTCGCGAGGCGAGGAATAGGGAGAGAGAGCAGTTGAACACGTGGCTACAGGGATGGTGCAGGAGGGAGGGATTCAGATACCTGGATAATTGGGGCTCATTCTGGGGTAGGTGGGACCTCTACAAACGGGATGGCCTACACCTGAACCAGAGGGGTACCAATATCCTGGGGGGGAAATTTGCTAATGCTCTTCGGGAGGGTTTAAACTAATTCAACAGGGGGGTGGGAACCTGAATTGTAGCTCCAGTGTACAGGAGGTTGAGAGTAGTGAGGTCATAAATAAGGTTTCAAGGTCGCAGGAGTGTACCGGCAGGCAGGAAGGTGGTTTGAAGTGTGTCTACTTCAATGCCAGGAGCATCCGGAATAAGGTGGGTGAACTTGCAGCATGGGTTGGTACCTGGGACTTCGATGTTGTGGCCATTTCGGAGACATGGATAGAGCAGGGACAGGAATGGTTGTTGCAGGTTCCAGGGTTTAGATGTTTCAGTAAGATCAGGGAAGGTGGTAAAAGAGGGGGAGGTGTGGCATTGTTAGTCAAGGACAGTATTACGGTGGCAGAAAGGACGTTTGATGACAACTCGTCTACTGAGGTAGTATGGGCTGAGGTTAGAACCAGGAAAGGAGAGGTCACCCTGTTGGGAGTTTTCTATAGGCCTCCGAAAAGTTCCAAAGATGTAGAGGTAAAGATTGCAAAGATGATTCTGGATAGGAGCGAAAGTAACAGGGTAGTTGTTATGGGGGACTTTAACTTTCCAAATATTGACTGGAAATGCTATAGTTCGAGTACTTCAGATGGGTCAGTTTTTGTCCAATGTGTGCAGGAGGGTTTCCTGACACAGTATGTAGATAGGCTAACAAGAGGCGAGGCCACATTGGATTTGGTACTGGGTAATGAACCAGGCCAGGTGTTAGATTTGGAGGTAGGAGAGCACTTTGGTGATAGTGACCACAATTCGGTTACGTTTACTTTAGCGATGGAAAGGGATCGGTATATAAAGCAGGGCAAGAGTTCTAGCTGGGGGAAAGGCAATTATGAGGCGATGAGGCAAGATTTAGGATGCATAGGATGGAGAAGGAAACTGCAGGGGCTGGGCACAATTGAAATGTGGAGCTTGTTCAAGGAACAGCTACTGCGTGTCCTTGAGAAGTATGTACCTGTCAGGCAGGGAGGAAGTGGTCGAGCGAGGGAACCGTGGTTTACTAAAGAAGTTGAATCTCTTGTCAAGAGGAAGAAGGAGGCTTATGTAGAGATGCGGCGTGAAGGCTCAGTGAGGGCGCTTGAGAGTTACAAGTTAGCCAGGAAGGACCTAAAGAGAGAGCTAGGAAGAGCCAGGAGGGGACATGAGAAGTCTTTAGCAGGTAGGATCAAGGAAAACCCTGAAGCTTTCTATAGGTATGTCAGGAATAAAAGAATGACTAGAGTAAGATTGGGGCCGGTCAAGGACAGTAGTGGGAAGTTGTGCGTGGAGTCCAAAGAGATAGGAGAGGTGCTAAATGAATACTTTTCGTCAGTATTCACGCAGGAAAAAGACAATGTAGTCGAGGAGAATACTGAGATACAGGCTATTAGACTAGACGGGATTGAGGTTCATAAGGAGGAGGTGTTAGCAATTCTGGAAGGTGTGAAAATAGATAAGTCCCCTGGGCCGGATGGGATTTATCCTAGGATTCTCTGGGAAGCTAGAGAGGAGATTGCAGAGCCTTTGGCTTTGATCTTTATGTCGTCATTGTCTTCAGGAATAGTGCCAGAAGACTGGAGACTAGCAAATGTTGTCCCCTTGTTCAAGAAGGGGAGTAGAGACAACCCTGGTAATTATAGACCAGTGAGCCTTACTTCGGTTGTGGGTAAAGTGTTGGAAAGGATTATAAGAGATAGGATTTATAATCATCTAGAAAGGAATAATTTGATTAGGGATAGTCAACACGGTTTTGTGAAGGGTAGGTCGTGCCTCACAAACCTTATTGAGTTCTTCGAGAAGGTGACCAAACAGGTGGATGAGGGTAAAGCGATTGATGTGGTGTATTTGGATTTCAGTAAAGCGTTTGATAAGGTTCCCCATGGTAGGCTATTGCAGAAAATACGGAGGCATGGGATTGAGGGTGATTTAGTGGTTTGGATCAGAAATTGGCTAGCTGTAAGAAGACAGAGGGTGGTGGTGGATGGGAAATGTTCATCCTGGAGTTCAGTTACTAGTGGTGTACCTCAAGGATCTGTTTTGGGGCCACTGCTGTTTGTCATTTTTATAAATGACCTGGATGAGGGCGTAGAAGGATGGGTTAGTAAATTTGCAGATGACACCAAAGTCGGTGGAGTTGTGGATAGTGCAGAAGGATGTTGCAGGTTACAGAGGGACATAGATAAGCTGCAGAGCTGGGCTGAGAGGTGGCAAATGGAGTTTAATGCGGAAAAGTGTGAGGTGATTCACTTTGGAAGGAGTAACAGGAATACAGAGTACTGGGCTAATGGTAAGATTCTTGGTAGAGTGGATGAGCAGAAAGATCTCGGTGTCCACGTGCATAGATCACTGAAAGTTGCCACCCAGGTTGATAGCGTTGTTAAGAAGGCGTACAGTATGTTAGGTTTTATTGGTAGAGGGATTGAGTTTCGGAGCCATGAGGTCATGTTGCAGCTGTACAAAACTCTGGTGCGGCCGCACTTGGAGTATTGCATACAGTTCTGGTCACCGCATTATAGGAAGGATGTGGAAGCATTGGAAAGGGTGCAGAGGAGATTTACCAGGATGTTGCCTGGTATGGAGGGAAGGTCTTATGAGGAAAGGCTGAGGGTTTTGAGGCTGTTTTCGTTAGAGAGAAGAAGGTTAAGAGGTGACTTGATAGAGACATACAAGATGATCAGAGGATTAGATAGGGTGGACAGTGGGAGCTTTTTTCCTCGGACGGTGATGGCTAGCACGAGGGGACATAGCTTTAAATTGAGGGGTGATAGATATAGGACAGATGTCAGAGGTAGGTTCTTTACTCAGAGAGTAGTAAGGGCGTGGAATGCCCTGCCTGCAAAAATAGTAGACTCGCCCACTTTAAGGGCATTTAAATGGTCATTGGATAAACATATGGATGATAATGGAATAGTTTAGGTTAGATGGGCTTCAGATTGGTTTCACAGGTCGGCGCAACATCGAGGGCCGAAGGGCCTGTATTGCGCTGTAATGTTCTATGTTCTATGTTCTATGTTCTATGTTGCAAGATGTTGTGATCTGAAATTAATAAGAAAGAAAGACAGACTAGCTTTTGTATCGTGCTGTTGCTGTTTTCAACCTTGGGCCACCCCAGAGCATTTTATAGTAATTAAGTACTTTGAACATAGTAAAACAAAAGCCCCACAAAACATCAAAGAGGCAATGATCATTAAATCTGTTTTAGTGGTGTTTATTGAGGGATAAATATTAACTAGGTCACCAGGGAGAACCCTACTTTAAAGTAGCGCCATAGGATTCTGTGTGTCCACTTAAGAGGAGAGAAGGGGCTTTTGGGTTCTTGTATCATTAGAAAGGCCGGATCACTGACAATGCAGTATTCTCAGCACTGTACAAGGAGTTTCAGCCTTCATTTTGTCTGCACCAGTCTCTGGAGTGAGACCTGAACCTGAAGTTTTGTAACTTGGGAGATGACAATGCCACTGACTGAACCAAGGGAGATGTTTTCTGTTTAAACTCAATCCTCCTTCCCTTTGGCAGGAATGTCTCACTTATCCTGGATGAGTTTGAGATGTGCCACTTGCCTGATATCTAATACACAGCTGCATCATGTCATAACACACTGCTGGCCTTTTTTTTGGGAGTTGGAAAAAGTCTAGAGAGAGCTGACATACTCTCTGTTGAAAGATAAAATTTGCCTCAGAGTCTTTGTGTTCGATGTCCTTGAGGGGCAAATCCTCACAAAACCTCTTAGAGCTTTGGATGCTTTATCTGTCAGCGAACAATAGTATTTCAGAAATATCTTATTCATCTTTGAACACGTCAATTTCCGATACCTTGAACCTTTGTGAATTGTTTAAACATTAAGAGGAGGTGATGGCGTTAATCTATCAAGTGCATTTCTGAATAATAGTTATGCATGTAGAATGTGGGGGCTTTGTTTGTGGTTTGAACATGTTAACAACAAGATCATAGCAAACGGTGGAGGTTAAAAGATTACTGGTTCTCACCTGCCAGTGTGGTGTCATAATGGTAATGTCACTAGACTAGTAATCCAGAAGCCCAGGCTAATGGGGATATGACTTTATATTCATGACAGATGGTAAAATTTGAATTCAATCATAATAATAATAACAATAATAAAATAATCTCTACTTAAAGCAGATGGGTTTAGTAATGTCTGACTGATAGATCTCCTTTGCTCTAAGATCCTAATGCCTTTTGGGGAGGAAATCTGTTGTCTATATCTGGCCTGTATGTGACTCCATACCACACAGCAATGCTGTTGACTCTAAACTACCCTATGGGTAATTAGGCAATAAATGCAGTGCTGACTCAATCCCAATGCCCACATCCCATGAATCAATGTATTAAAAAAAACTTTGGACATCCTGGTTTGCAGATTCTAATTGTCAAGTTTATTGGAGGTTATCATTATACTGCATATTATGCATTTGATCATTAACTGCGTCATGCAGAGGAGGCCATCTAACTCTTATGAATATGTTGGTTCTTTTAAAGAACTATCCAATTTAGTTTATGCCCCAACTTTTTCCCTATAATCCTACAAACAAGTCTGCTTCTTCAAACGTTGATTTGTCGTCTTCAAGTTCCATTGGAATTCCTACCACGCTTTCAAGGGGAGTGTGAAGAAATATCTCTTCATTTTTTCTCTAGTTCTTTCATCAATTATTTTAAATCTGTAACGTTAGATTATTGATTCACTTGCTATGGGAAATAGTTTCTCCCTATTTACTCTGTCAGAACCCCATGTACTTTTGAATTTCTCTATTCGATTGTCCCTAATCCTCTCCATGATCTTGACGTTTCTCCTAAAATGTGATGTCCAGAATTTGACACATGAATTAAGGGATAGCTAGTAGTTTACGATGGCTTCTCAGTGTTCCTCTTTACAAAGTCTTCTATCCTGTATGCTTTATTTATTTCTTCAGCTTGTCCTACCGCCTTCAAGGATTCATCCAGATCTCTCTATTCTTGTATCCCTGTCGAAACAGTATAATTTAGGTTATACTGCCTCTCCACATTGTTCTCTCAAAGTTTATTCCTTCGAAATTGCCCTGTTGAACACTGTTACTATTCTACCCACTACTTACTATGTTGCTAACGTTTGTGATGTCTGTAAACTTGTTCTCCCTAGACCAAATTTAGGTCATGGAAATATAAAGCTGATCAGGAAGAGTGCATGAAGAACTGCTCTCCAAACTGGTTTATTACGTTTATTTATTAGGTGTTTTTATCAGCGTGAGATACAGAGGTGGAGTAACAACAACAGACATGCATGTAATGATGAACTGGAAAAGACCCAGAGGCCTATCAACCATTCCCTGTTGGTGTCTTTGTACATCATTATTTGGAGGCTCCCAACCACAATGTGATCTCCTGGCAGAGGAGAGAATGCAGATTAACAAAAGCCTCAGGGGATTTGGGGAGGAATGCACCAGTAAATTCCTCTCCCACTCCCTTAGATGCTCTTCTGACGTGGATTAATATACAGCTTTGAACCAGGCTGATCTCTACCCAACCAGAAGCAGGCCCAGTGCCCACTTGCGGGATACTGGGTGTTCGCTCAACAGGCAATGAAGTTTCCTTTACCTGAACCCTTATCTTTCAATCGTCACTACTGTGGCTTTTCCATGTTGCATGCTTGCAATGACTGGAATAATTTCACCTCCCAGCACAATGGAAGCCTTGTTGGTAAATCTGAACTTCTAAACTAGCACCACGATTCTAACCCCTAACCTCAGGCCTCCATTTTCAGTCACTGCAAATGTTTATCCACTTTCTTTACTTAGCAGATGCAATTTCTCTACCCCAAAAACTTCCGGTGGTTTAAAAACTCCACACTCCAATTCTCTACATAAAATAATGTTTGTGTGTTTGTCCTGTGTTTGGATGCTGCAAATTGATTTGATTGTGGGCTGTAAATTAAGGGACAAATCCATTTTTAAAAAAGTTTTGTTGTTGGACCATAAAAAGGATTTTACTGTTAGCTGCCTCTGGTCAACAGCTGTGACAGCATCATGATTGTATTTTTAAAAAAGGGAAACAAAAGATCATTATCCTACTCACCAATGTGGCTGATTCTGAAATGGGGCAGAGTGCAATGTGGCTTTGGCTGGCTTTCATATCCGCATTTCTACGCCTCTGGACTTCACTCTGTGCTGCAGCTCTCTAGTTTCACCCTTGGATTGTGTCCAAGTCTGTATTGGTCACAGAGTTAGGATCTGATCTCTGGCTGAATCCTGAATTGGGCCAGGAAATACTTCATACTGATTAATGTTTTTAAATTCACAAATGCTTCATCGTTGCAGAGTGATTTCAAAGGAAGGAAAAACACACTCTGAGCTACATGCTCCCAAAAACACTCTGCTGCTTTTCAAAAAAAAACTTGCAACTAACCTCAGATTTTTGCACTCGATTGATTCTGACAAAATGAGTGGCAAAAGGGAATGGTTTCCAATCTTATGTTTTTTAATAAAGCAAATCATAAACTAATCCACCAAAAGAACTTCATTTCTAATAAGCTGGTCAGCTCTGGCTAAATATCAGATGAGTGCAAGGCTCTGGGTTAATGGCACATCTGGTGAAATGTATTATGTTCATGGTGCAGTTACCTGAATATTGGAGCAGGTTTAATACTGTTGACACGCTCCCATCAACAGGTACAGAAAAAACTTAACAAGGCACTGGATGACCTTTCCACAAGCGTTTTAACCCTTAAGGATGGAACGACGTACATCACATCCCTGCCTGCACAGGGCTTGGCAGAGCCTGAACTGCTGTTAAAGCTTAAAGACTACAGCACAATGGGTAAATTAACAATATTGTATTTTAAAAGCTTTTCATTGTTTTTATTTCTTACTCTCCCTACCAATGAGTAAAATTGTCCTGTGTATCTTGTAAACATAAAAATTGTGCAGTAGATTTCAGCTGACGTGTATGCAGTGGATTTTAGTTCTAGTCTCTTGGTGCCTCTGATGTTCATCCTTCACTATTGTTAACAGTGTTTTCAGCTGCCTCCTCCTATACTACGGATCCCCAAATCCTTCCATTTCTTTCTGCTCCTTTACTCCTTCAAAGCCCTAATATCTCTTTGTTTGTGTTGCTGTTCAATCTTGTCCAATCGAGTCTTCTCCTGGAAAGCAACTTTGGGTGTTTTAATTGTGTTAAAGGCACTATACAGATGCATTTTGTTGTTGTACAGTACCTACCCTCATTTCTGCATTGCTTTCCAACAGCCTGTTTATTGCTCTGAAGTTCATCGTCACAAACAAAACAGATTGTAATATTTATTTTCTGATGGCGGGGATGCATGATTCAGGCTACAGTACCTGGGAATAGCAGCAGCATTGCAGTTATTCTGCTGGATAAGTGGCACAGAGGCTCGGAGTAATGATCCAGAGACATGACTTCTGGGATGCCAAGGAACTTGCATTCAGTTAATTAAATAAATCTGGGATAAAAAAAAATGCTAGTCTCAGTAATCGTAGCCTTGAAATGACTGGATTGTGATATAAACCACCTGATTGACTAACGTCCTTTTGGGAAGGAAATCTGCTGTTCTTACCTGGTCTGGTTTATATACGACTCCAGACCTACAGCAGTTTGCCTCTTAATTGCTCTAACATGACACTTAATTGTACTCAAGAATATGGCTCGCCACCACTTTCAACAGCAATAAGGGATAGGACAGTAAGTGCTGGTATTCTGACAATTCCCACAACACTCTAATCTTGTGGATGGATTGAAACAAAATTTACCCCATTTTGTGTTTAGGCTTGTCTGTGGTGGAAATTCTCCATTCTTAAAGTTAAATATTTACTGTGCTGTTTGATTAAATATAATGTCCTCTAGTACAATGGTGCTGTTCCACCATTTTCGATTGTGAAATCCACTGGATGGATCTGCAGTCATTCAGAATGCCACAAGCGTTTTGCTGCTTCACCCCAGGTGGCTCGTGCAGTGAGTGGCTTGTTCTGCAATTGAGTGTTATGCTATCTTGGGTGAGAAAGCTGCAGTAAACATTAAAGCGTTCACGGTACTGAGATGTTTGTATCTGATGCTGTTGCTGAAACTGTATTTTGTAGGAGAGGTACATTGGGAGAAAGGGCAAGTCTCTGGGACAGTGTATAGTGGCGAGGAACAGCTCACAAAGCTGATGGTGAAGGTAAGAAGTAGCTTAATGTGACATTATGACAACAGAACAATCATTTAGAAATTCTCACTTTACTGGCTAAAAACTGTCAATTTTTTTTTAAAGCACTCCCTACATTTTTCTTTTTTGTTAACCAGACCACTATTCCTTCATGTGGTCAATGTCAGTGTAACATCAGGTGTCTGCAATAAACAGGAGCCTCTATACTGTATAGAAAGCTTTTGTAGCGGCTCCAATGATGTGGCAGTTAGCAGCAGATATTGATGAGATGCTCACAGAGGCAGTTCAGGGAAAATTCAGTCAGCTGATTCCTGGGAGGAAGGCTTCATCTTACGAGAAAAGGTCGGGGTTGTCTCATTGGAATTTAGAAGACGAGAGAATTGGGTGGCATGGGTGGTTAGCACTGCTGCCTCACAGCGCCAGGGACCCAGATTCGAATCCATCCTCGGGCAACTGTCTTTGTGGAGTTTGCACATTCTCCCCTTGTCTGCGTGGGTTTCCTCTCACACTCCAAAGATTTGCAGGGTAGATGGATTGGCCATGCTAAATTGCTCATAGTGCCGAGGGATATTTAAGTTAGGTGGGTTAGACATGGGAAATGTAGGGGTAGGGGAATGGGTCTGGGTGGGACGCTCTTCGGACGGTCAGTGTGGACTTGTTGGGCCGAATGGCCTGTTTCCACACTGCAGGGATTCTATGAAATGAGATATTGAAACATATGTGACTGAGAGGGCTTGACAATATGGATGCTGTAAGTATGTTTTCTAGAACTAGGGATATATGAGCCAGGAATAGACCACTCAGGCCCTTAAGCTTGCTCTGATATTCGGTAAGATCATGGGTGGTCTGACGTCTCCCTAGTTAATCAAGAATTGATCTACTTCTGCCTTAAGAAAATTTAATAACCTTGCCTCCTCTGTTCTATCAGGAAGGCAGTCCACAGACTCATCACTTTCAGAAGAAATTCCTCCTCGTTACCATCTAAAATGGGACACCTTATTTTTGAACTGTGTCCCATAGTTCTAGTCTCTCCCTCAAGTGGAAACCTCCTTTCGGCACTAACCTGACAAGTCTTCTCAGGATCCTATATGTCTTAGTAAGATCGCCTCTCATTATTCCAATGCATATGGAATAAATCTGTGTCCAATTAGGGGACACAGTTTAAAATTAAGTCTGTCCCATTTAAAATTGAGATGAAGAGAAATTTATTTTCTCGGAGGTTTGTTAGTGATTGGAATTCTCCTCCCCAGGGAGCAGTGGAGGCCAGTTCATTGGATTTATTCAATGCTGAGTTAGTCAGACTCTTGATCAGTGAGGGAGTCAAGCCTTTTGTGGCACTGGTGGTAAAATGGATTTAAGGAACTCAACCATGACCTTAGTGATTGGTGAAGCAGGCTTGATGGGTTGAGTGGTCTGCTCTGTGTCGATTTCTTATGATCTTACAACCATTTTGTGTACAATACCTCTCAATCCTGGTATGTATTCAAGACCACTAACATGTAGCTCATCGTACAGAGGAACTTGGAATCGTTTTAATAATGGCCTCCCAATATTTAGTTTTAGTAACGTCTGAACTGAGAGTAACGTTGTGATTCTATGCCACATTTCATATCCTTAGGACAGTTGAAAGTATTTCACATCTTGTGAATCACTCACAGTCTAGTCATTGTCATGCAACATCCCTGCTGATATGTGCACAGCAAGCTCCCATGAGCAGCAGTGAGATCGAGGAAATGAAATGTTGTGTGGGACCTCAATTCAAAATTTTCCTTGAAGCATTAGAATCTTTCAGAATGCTGCAGCCCCTCAGTGTTGAAGCGTCAACCATGCTCCGTCACCTGAGACTACTTACGTTCATTTCCAGAGCACCTTGTGTTATCTTAGGTTACCTCATCCTAGAGCTTCTGCTTCTGAGAAGAAAGAGGAGTTTGATACTTCATTGGGGAATTGGCTGTGGCAGATCACCAGATCCAAAAGTGTTTCATTTTATTTGATGGTCCCAAGAGTAAGGAAGGCTCATTTCTTTCCTCTCTATTATGCTGAGTTTATAGTGACTCACTAAATGCCTGTTGACAGTCTACTCCTGTCTGGAGAAAGAACATTTACCTTGAATTGCCCATTGGATACAAATTGATTGGTCAGTCTCCTTCTCGATTAAAAGTTGAGGAACATAATCAATAATTACAGGGCAGGTCAGAGAAAAACATCAATATAGTTTCTTTTTTGAGCTATTACTTATTAGTACCAAAGGGTACAAAAGAATTGTTAACAGAACAGCCCAGGAGATTTTTATTTTTGATTGCAAAGTTTCAATTTAAGTTTATAGAGTTCTAATCAAGCAAAGACTCCTTACTCATTATAAATGAGCATTGTGGTGAAGTGGTTACATATGATTAGGCTTGTAATCCAAAGAGTATGATTTTAAATTCCTCCATGGAATTTTAATTTGAGTTTGTTAATAAGAAAATAAATCTGGAAGTTGAAAGGCTGCTACCACTAAAAGTGACCTTGAAGGTCATAGAGTCATACAGCGTGGAAACAGACCCTGTTGTCCAACTAGTCCATGCTGATCATTTTCCCAAACGAAACTAGTCCCACCTGCGTGCATTTCGCCCGTATTCCTCTAAAGCTGTTCATGTACTTATCCAAATGTTGGTTAATTGTAAAAACCCAACTGATATACTGTGCTTTCAGGAAGGAGATGTGCTATGCTGACCTCTTACATACAAACATATGAATTAGGATTGGGAATAGACCATTTGGCTCTTCAGCCTGCTTCGCCATTTGATAAGATAATGGCAGATCTGAATGTTGTCTCAATTCCACTTTGCTGTCCAACCCCTGTAGCCTTTGACTTTCTTGTCAGTCAAGATTTAATCTAATTGAGCCTTAAAAATATTTAGTAATCTAGTTCCACTGCTGTTTGGGTGAAGAGAATTCCACAGACTTCACGACCCTCTGAGAGAAATTATTTCTTATCATTTGCATCTTAAATGAGAAGTGCCTTACTTTTAAATTGTTCCCCTTAATTCCAGTCTCCCCTAAAGGAGAAACATCCTCTCAGCCTCCACCCTCTGGAACTTGTATATTTCAGTAAGACCACCTCATGTTCTTTTAAACTCCAATGTGTTCAACCCTTTTTCAAAAGATAATGCCTTCATCCCAGGAATCAGTTGAGTAAATCTCTCTAAACTACCTCTAATGTAATTGTATCCATTGTTGAATAAAGAGACCAGAAGTATACACCATATTCTAAACGTGGTGTCACAAATGCTCTGTACAATTCCAGCAAGACTTTCTTACATTTGTATTTCATTCCCTTTGCAATAAATGATAACATTCCATTTACCTTCCTAATCATTTGCTGTACTTAAATTATTTAAATTTAGCATGCATGTACCATTGCATTCAGATTGCTGCGTGCTGCAGAGTCCTGCAATCTCTCTCCATTTATAGTGTATACTGCCTTTCTACTCTTCTTGCAATGTGGACAAGTTTGTAATTCGCACATTTTAGCCATCTGACCTAACCTATCTAAATCACTTCATGAACTGTTTGTGTCCTCTTCACATTTATTTTCCTACTTATTTTTGTGTTATCATCAAATTTAGCAGCCATGCATTTGGTCCCTTTCATGTGTACAGATTGTAAATCGTTAACACTCCAGTATTGATCCTTGTTTTTGTCCAGTGGTTACAGCTTGCCAACCTAAGAATGATCTATCTTGCCTCCTATCTGCTTCCTTTGGGCAGCATGGTGGTTCAGTGGTTATCACTGCTGCCACATTATGCCGGGGACCTGGGTTCGATTCCAGCCTAGGGTGACTGTATGTGGGATTTGCACATTCTCTCCATGTCTGCGTGGGTTTCCTCCCACAGTCCAAAGATGTGCAGGTTAGGTGGATTGGTCGTGGGAAATATGGGGTTATGGGAAAGAGGGATGTGATTCTGGGTTTAGATGGGATGCTGTTTGGAAGATCAGTGCAGACTTGATGGCCCAAATAATCTCTTTCTGCAGTGTAGGGATTCTATATTAGCCAAAGAGTTTTCTATCCATGATCATAGGTCATGGTAGACATCAAGAGCTCTTAGTTTGTTTGGTAACCTTTGTTGTGGAACCCTGTTAAATGCCTTTAGAAATCCACATGCACCAAATGTAGAAGTTTGCCTTCAACTACATTGCTTGTTTGTTCCTCAAAGAACTCCAATTAATTAGTCAAACATGATTTCCCTTTTGTTGAACCATGTTGAATCTGCCTAATTGCACAAAGTTTTTCTAAGTTCCCTGCGGTAACGTCCTTAATAATAGATTCTCTGTTTTCGCTATGGTAGATTTCTTGGCCCAAACCTGCCTCCAGACAATGAAAATGTGATTGACTCTTAATTGTCAATGAATTAGCATACTAACACACTCAAACATATTAAACAAAGCAAATAGAAATTTGATGGATTCCTCGATCAAATCCCTTTCTATTGATTTTATACTCTGAGACAACACAAAGGACAGAGATAGGAAGAGGAGATGGGAACCTTGCACAGGACTGATAATGAAGTGGTGAAGGAGCGCCGCCATACTGCGACAGTGAAACAGAACCTCAAGAGTTGGGAAGGATGTCCTGAAGTGGTTCAGAGCTGATGAAATACTTTGAATGGGTAGTTACTGCTCATCAATATTGAGATATGTTGTAACCAATTAGTGTGCAGCAAGTTTCCTCGAAAAGCAATGAGATAATTGACTAGATAATTTTTGATTCTGAGTTTTTGCTTCCATGACAGTACTTGGTGGTTAAAAAAGGTGTTCTCCCTTGTGTCCTTGTCAGTGTTATATGGAACTATGAAAATAAGGCTTTCGACAAGTTTCTGCATGATAGACCATGTAATACAGGGAGAACTAGTTACTTGAATACAGAACTGGCTCAAAGGCAGAAGACAGAGGGTAGTGGTAGAGGGTTGTTTTTCAGACTGGAGGCCTGTGCCCAGCAGTGTGCTACAAGGATTGGTGCTGGGTCCACTGCTTTTTGTCATTTATATAAATGATTTGGATGTGAACATAGGAGATATGGTTAGTAAGTTTGCAGATAACACTAAAATTGGAGATGTAGTGGACAGCCAAGAAGGTTACCTCAGAGTACAATGGGGTCTTGGTCAGATGGGCCAATGGGCCAAGGAGTGGCAGATAGAGTTTAATTTAGTAAATGTGAGATGCTGCATTTTGGAAAAGCAAATCAGGGCAAGACTTATACATTTAATGGTAATGTCCTGGGGCGTGTTGCTGAACAAAGAGACCTTGGAGTGCAGGTTCATAGTTTCTTGAAAGTGGAGTTGCAGGTAGATAGGATGGTGAAGAAGGCGTTTGGTATGCTTGCCTTAATTAGTCAGTGCGTTGAGTATAGGTGTTGGGAGGTCATATTGCAGCTGTCGAAGCCAGTTTTGGAGTATTGCAATTCTGGTCTCCCTCCTATAGGAAGGATGTTGTGAAAGTAGAAAGGGTTCAGAAAAGGTTTACAAAGATGTTACCAGGGCTGGAGGGTTTGAGCTGTAGGGAGAGGCCGAATAGGCTGGGACTATTTTCCCTGGAGTGTCGAAGGGTGACCTTATAGAGGTTTATAAAATCATGAGGGACATAGATATGGTAAATAAATAAGGTGTTTTCCCCAGCGTGGGGCAGCCCAAAACTGGGGGACATAGATTTACGGTGAGAGGGGAAAGATATAAAGGAGCAAATTTTCACAGAGAGGGTGGTGCGTATATAGAATGAGCTGCCAGAGGAAGTGGTGGAGGCTGGTATGATTACAACATTTAAAAGGCATCTGGATGGGTATATGAATAGGAAGGATTTAGAGGGATATGGGCCAAATGTTGGCAAATGGTACTAGATTTATATAAGATAGCTGGTCAGCATAGATGAGTTGGTCCGAAGGGTCTGTTTTCTGTGCTGTATATCTCTATGACTCTATGGGAGAAAGAAATATGAAAATGGGTTGAGATGAAGCAGCATAGGGTAGGTGGAAGCATGTCCAAAATATACAGCATGGACATGTTGGGTGAAACAGCCTGCTTCTATGCTGTAAATGTTTTGATAACTTAATCAAGAATTATGAGATCTGCTAACCCAGTAACATTCTGTCTTAAGGTTTATGGAGACTTTGCTTGGAGTAACCCACTACACCCGGACATCTTCCCTGGCGTGAGGAAGATGGAAGCAGAGGTTGTTCGGATGGCTTGTACTCTCTTCCGCGGGGGTCCAGAATCCTGCGGGACGGTAGGTAGATCCCACAGTAGTGAAAATGTTTGCCTTTCCTTGGGAATGTAGGAGACCATTCAGCCCCTTGGAGCTGCTCTGCCATTCGAAATGCTATTTCTCACAGCCAACACAGCGCATGAGAACATTGCAAATCCTCTATCATGAGCTGAAATTCTGCTAAATTTGGGAGGTTGGAAATGAGAGTAAGGATAATCACAACGATTCACATACTGTTCAGTAAGTTTAAGATTGTATTGGCAGTCTTGAGGTGGAATAGATCTCTTAACTAGTCTTATTTTTAAGCCAAGATTTACATGTTCCCCCACCTTATGCATTTGGTCACAGTCGTCTTTGTTAATCAGAAATGAAAGCATAATAGTGCAGATGCTGGAAAGCTGAAGCAAACACAGAAAGTGCTGAAGAAACTCAGCAGGTCTTGTAGCATTTGTTGGAGAGAGAAACAAAGTCCCGAGGAAGAGTCAAGCTGGACCTGGTAAATCTTTTCAGCATTCACTGTGTTTGTTTGTTAATTAGGACATTACTCACTGGTCAAAGGTAATGGGCCTTGAAACAACTACATTTTAACAGCATTATTTGTTTGCTAATCTCTAACTTTCAGGAACCAGATACTTCTAAGTGATAGGATAGTCCAAAGGCTGCACTTCTCTGTATTCTGTTTGTCAAGCTGCTGATATTCTGGCTTTATTACAAAAGATTTGTGCTCCAGAAATAGCAACACCATTAGCCAAGCTGTTCCAGTGCAGCTGCAACACTGGCATCTACCTGATAATGTAGAAAATTGTCCAAGAATGTCCTAGAGATAGTAGGAACTGCAGATGCTGGAGAATCTGAGATAACAAGGTGTAGAGCTGGATGAACACAGCAGGCCAAGCAGC